CATGGTTTTCACCTTTTGAGCCAGGTGTTTTCCACATAAAATACTTGTGTTCTTTACTTTTCGCATTTACTCTTTCTGTAATAGTAGGTTAAGGAACACTTAGAAGAACCAGGTCTTTCCATAATCAGTCTAAGTGAAAAATTGGTCACCACACAAATCACCCTCCTCTTGTGTGGTATTGAAGTGTAAAACATTAATGACAAATAATTACGAATTTGTTGTAAGTATATATTTTTGAAAGTATCAATTATATGTAGAATTTGAACTTAAAGCATTAATATATGTATTTGTTACATCCACCAAAGATTGTGGTCATACTCAAATATGACAATCATGGTATTTTCAGCCTTTAAAAATGTACCATCAAAGGACATGAAATTGATTGAAGGTTATTGTAAGAGCTACTAATGGTCAGGGGTAGTGTGCTCACGAAAAGAGCTCTAGTTGCTTGGGATAGATTGTGTTTGCCTAATTCAGTAGGGGGATTAATATCACTAATTTGTGTTAGTATACTGTATTTGTAAAATAATTATAGAGAAGAAAAACAACATATAAACAGAAATGTAGAAGAAGTAGAAAATAATCCGAGCTTACTAAATTCACAGTGTTTCCTTAAGGAACTTAATCCCCTCCTAGTATCCGAGGTTATGGGTTATTTCCTCTCAGGATAGATTGGATTACTCACTGGTGTAGCAGTACTTCATACCCCAGTGTTTCAATGAACACAAATGGCGGCAGCAATCACACTTACGTTGTTTGTTTTGTAAGAAAACAACGCAGATATTGTTGCGACCAAAAACACTCATGCAAGTGCACGTGATCGTCAAGTAATAGAGTAGTGAGTAGAGTATCATTCCCACGAAGATTTATGATTAACTGTTGACTGATTCAAACCCACTTTTTGTATCTACCCAAGAGATTGTTCACAAAAGAGAGATGTAATTGTTTTACTACTTAAACTATAAAGAACTAATATAACTAAAGCAAGTAACCAAACGAATAGAAATTTCGAGTAACAAACAGTAGAAGGGGATATTCCAGGGTCACGGGCATAGTTAACAATCGTGTTGTGTTCTTGGCTTAGAATGACTAATCAATTTATCTGGGTTATTGATTGACAGAGTTGATATTACTCGTAAAAATCTGTCGAGTTCCTACTCGCCTATTCAAGTCAACTCGATGCCTATATGTCTATGGAATTAAGATTAACAAGAACACATTTACAATTCCTGTATTTCAACCAAGCAAGGCAATTGGGTACATGTCTATCCCAATTACGAATCCGTTCCCCGAGACCCGGGTTCAAGAACTTGCTCTATTTAATTCTATATGCAATCTAAAGTTCTCACTTTCGAGTTCAACTAAAGATTCGTAGATAGTATTTCACTGTTAGCTACTCAGCAAAATAATTGAACGCAGAATTAAATAAACAACCCAATATGATAAACCTACTTTGTCAAATTAAACTCCAAACAACAACATTCATGTTTTACCCATGACCCCAGAATAATGGGTCTTAGCCACTCATACTAGTGTTCATCCCAAATAAGTTCAATTTCATCACAAAATAGCAAAAACAAGAGAAGAAAAGAAGAACTTGATGGTCAAAACTCCTCCTTGCCTCTTGCCTCTCTATTTCTTGCACTAAACTATGAAAACCCTTGATGATTTAACCTTGGGCGAGCTTGACTTTATAAAGGTTAAGTGGGTTTATTTCCAGATTTCCAATTTTACCCCTAAATAACTTTTTTCCGGACCGGACAAGTGCGAGCTCGCGCATAATTTCGTGCGTTTCTTCGCGCATGATTCTGCCTCGGCCTTTCTTACGCGCGAAATCCTGCGTGCCTTCGCGCGTTTCTTCGCGCACCTAGAGCTTGATTTCGTCCATTTTTTCATCTCGTCCTTGCACGCACTCAACTCCGAGGGGTTGTTCTTGCTCATAAATCATTCCAATATCCTCTTGAAAGAATCATACAAGCTCCTCGTCCTGCAATGTATACATATCATAATTAAAGCCTATTTTTCATCAATTAACCATAATATGTCATTGGAATATAATCAAGCGGAAGCATAAACAATAGCTAAATCACCTAGATTTCGCATATTATCAACACCCCACACTTAATTCATTGCTAGTCCTCGAGCAATCAACTATACTCTCTAGAGAATCCTTCACTCAACCATTTCCTTTAACGCATTATACCTTGAACAATGTACATGTATTACGCCTAGAAGTGAACAATCCTAGCCTCAAAGTCGACTCTCAAGTGCCATGCAATATTCACACTTCCTCAAAGTACTCTACATAGAAGTCAAGACTTGCTTTTTCGTCACGAATCATATGCCCTCACAATTACATCAACAAAAACTGAGTTCAATCCACCACATTCAATTCATATACTCACATATATCAAGGAAATCACTCACTCTCACAAAAGAGGTCACATGCATGTAATAGGTACCATAAGCTTGCCCTTAATGTAAATCTCTACTTATGTAGGCTAGCTCGATCCAAAATCAATTAGGACTTTTTCATGGTTGTGATGTGGGCTAAGGGACGGGTAGGATGTATTTAAGAATAGTGACTCAACCCCTAAGCACTTTAACACATCACATGAGCCATTTTTAGCGCAAATTCTTCAACCCACTTCTCATTCACACACAATATCATCCCACAAATACTCTCTCCTTCTTTAAGCACTCTATTAATTCATTCCCACTAGCTGGAACAAGACACAATGTAATCATCTCTTTTTTTTTAGTTTATTCTTCTTGTCACTCAATTTCTGCTAGTGGTGTATTCATTTACAACATAAGTGCACCTTTCATCGTTTTATTGGTTCCACTCAAAAGCCACCCCACACTTATTTCCTTCTTACTTCTTTTAGCGCTCCTCTCACAATTGAAGTGTTTTAAGAGGTAAAAGGATCAAAACAATGTCAATTAAGAACAAAAGGGTATAGGCTTGTAATGCGGGTGCCAAACAAAAGTCTAAAGGCTCAAAAGGGTTAACTAGGGACAAATTTTGTTTGTGATAAGCAATTAAGCTCAAAAAGGTCAAAGAAAGCCTAACATCATTTTCAAACCGAGCATCACCTAAAATTTCGCTTCAACTCACATACTGGTCAAGTTCTAGACACAAGTACAATACATGGACTACACAAAACTCACCACACATGGCATAAGACTCATTCCAGATCAGCTCATCAAGACACTCCATTACGAGTATTCAATTCAGTAACAAACATACAAATTAAGGCACTTTCAGTGAGATTCAACAATTAGGACTAAGCGTTACACTCTAGGGTCTATTGTGTTCAGGTGTGTCGACACTATGGATTCTCTTTCAATTTTATAGATCGTAGCCCATTACCCTAATCTACAAATCAAAAAGAAAACAAAAATAAAAACTACCTATGCATGGTTCAAGCTAAATCCTTGGAAAAGAACCACGACTTAAAGAAAAACCAAGGGGGAATTGCTACACTACCTAAGAAAAAAATAAAAAAATCTTTTTGTTGTTTTCTCTAGACTCATTTCCCTTAAGAAAAACGTCTAAAAGATTCGTCATCAGGAAGAGCCTGCTCAGTCCCTCAAGAACCCTGTCGAAAGGGATCCGTCATCGGGCCTAGCCATTTATCTAAATTAACAAAAAAAAACTACTCCTGCTTAACAAAAACTATCAAGTCAACATGAAACAAACAAAACAACCTGACAATTTGTACAACTACATAAAACATACAATGAAGGAATCCCCCTTTCTTGGGTACACATTGGACGGGGCTTACCCATTTGCTGTCTGAGATAGGAAATACAATACCTGCATCGAGCCACTTAATCACTTCTTTTCTTACCACCTCTTTCATGATTGGATTGAGTCGGTGTTGTTGCTCTACACTGAGCTTGCGTCCGTCCTCCATGAGGATTTTGTGCATGCAGAAGGCTGAACTAATGCCCTTAATGTCAGACATAGTCCACCCAAGTGCTCGCTTGTGCTCACGTAGCACTCTCAACAGCTTTTCTTCCTGCAATTTAGACAAGTCAGACGAGACAATAACAGGTAAAGTGTCAGAGTCACCCAAATAAGTATATTGCAGGTGCGGTGGAAGGGGTTTAAGTTCCAATTTTGGGGCTTCCTCAATTGACGGCTTTGGAGGAGGCCCCTCTGGTCTATTCAAAGGATCGAAGGGGTGCGTCCCTTGCAGGTACGCACAAGATGTATCAAGGATGTGCATCATCTCCTCAACCTCCTCATCAACCCCCAAGCTATCAAGCAACATAAATGCTTTCTCTAGAGAATCGTCTAGATATATACTCGGATAATGAATCTGCTCAACAACAGATATCATTGAGAGCTCCTCATAGTGGCAGGGAAGTTGGATTGCTCTGTTGACATTAAAAACTTCTTCCTCGTCATCTACCCTCAAAATCATCTTTCCCTCTCTCACTTTGATAATTGCATCACCAGTAGCTAAGAGAGGCCGCCCTAATATGATTGGAACCAGTTCGTCAGCCTCCTAATCAAGGATAATGAAATCAGCAAGGAAGATGAATTTCCCAATCTGCAGCAACACATCTTCAATCACCCCTTCAGGGTGTGCTATCGATCTGTCAGCCAGCTGTAACAACACAGTAGTGGGCCTTGGAGCTCCCAGGCCCAGTTGCTTGAACAAGGACAAGGGCATTATATTTATGCTCGCCCCCAAATGGCAAAGAGCACGACCCACATCAGTATTTCCAATGCGCACAGGAATCGTGAAGCTGCCAGGATCCTTAAGCTTTTGAGGGAGCTTATTTTGGACCCTTGAAGTGCACTCCTCAGTAAGTGCCACTGTCTCAAATTTAGTTAATCTTCTCTTGTGATCCACTATATCTTTTATGTATTTAGCATACTTTGGAATTTCAAGAAGCACATCAACAAGTGGGATATTCAATTGAACCTGGCTTAACATAAAGAGGAATTTTATGAACATGTGATCATCATTCTTTTTCTGCAATCTCTAGGGAAAAGGGGGTGGTGGTCTTGGGGCCTCCACTGGCTTTGAAATTTCAGTAGCATTCTTTGGCTCTTGAGTCACTTTAGGGATCAACTCTCCCTCAGGTATGGGCTTGTCTTTCTTTTTCTTTGGCACTTCCTCTAGCTCCCTCCCGTTTCTAAGTGTAACTGCATTCACTTGAGGGTTCTTTTCTGTATCACTAGGGAGGGCGCCTGCAGGTCTAGTGTTTTGATTTGTTGCTAACTGGCCCATTTGCCTTTCAAGATTTCTGACGTCGATCCTAAGTTGTTGATTGTCAATCAACAACTTCTTTAGCAGATTATTGGTACTTTCTTCCATTTGTTGGGGTGGTCTCTGAGGCTGATTGAAATTCCCTTGGGGTCTATGTTGATTCTGATTCTGCTGATTTCCACCCCATGAGAAGTTGGGTTGATTCCTCCAATTTGGATTGTAAGAATTCCCGTATTGTGCATGTTGATTCGGTGGACCTCTGTTCTGTTGCCCCACATAATAGACGGATTCTAGATTCGTGGGGCACATATCACTCATATGACTGTCACCACAAAGTTCGCAGCAAATAGTCATTTGTTGTACGTGTTGCATCGCCTGTAGTTGCTGCATTGTCATCCTAGTCATCTGATTAGCCAGCTTTGCAATATCGGCTCTCATGGCTGACACTTCGTCTAACTCAAGTAACCTAGCTGATTTTTGCTTAACTGCTTTTCGTGAATCACCCTCACCTTGCCAGTTATTATCATTGGCAGTGAAGTTATTCAGCAAGATTTGGATTTCACTGTACGGTCTGGCCATGCAACTACCCCCACAAGCTAAATCAAGATTCATCTTTGAAGCATCATCTAACCCATCTACAAAAGTGTGACCCGATACCTCGTCCGTCTGGCAATGATGAGGAGAGTCTCTGAGCATCTTCTTGTACCTTTCCCATGCTTGACGCAGTGTCTCGCCAGTTATTGTTCAAACCCAAGAATTTGACTCCTCAATACCTTTGTTTTCTTAGTGGGGAAAAACTTGATTAAGAATTTCCTTGCGAGATCATCCCAAGTGCGGATTGAATTTGCTGGCTCTTTATTCAACCACTCCTTAGCTTTCCCAATCAGTGAAAAGGGGAAAAGTGTCAGCCTGACATAGTCCTTGGAAACGTTCGGATAGTTGTAGGTATCGGTAATTTCCAAGAAATTCTGAATGTGCCTCTGCGGGTCTTCATGAGGTAAACCCACAAACAGCCCTGTGGATTAGATCAGCTGCACCATGTATTGTTTCAACTCAAAGTGCCCAGTGATGTCAGGTGCTTTACTATGTGAAGAATATCCCAAGAATACTTCCTCATCACTTCTGGGATCAAACTTTCTTAGGGAATCTTTTTCATCATTGCGAACAAAGTACTTGCATCTAAATGCCCTAATATGGGATATATTTAGCTCCATTTAAGTGACTCCTAGGGCATCTTCTTAACAAGATGTCTAATCATGCAACTATTTATGATGCAGTATGCAGTGCTCATAGCTTCTGCCGAGAAGCTATGAGGCAATTTACTAGCAAGTAGCATAGTCCTAACCATTTCCTCTAATGTCCTATACTTTCTTTCAACTACTCCATTTTGTTGTGGAGTCCTAGGAGCAGAAAAATTATGACCTATGTCATGCTCATCATAAAATTCAACAAACTTAGCATTTTCAAATTCAGTTCCATGATTAAAACTAATTGATGCAAGTTGATTACCTAGTTGTTTCTGAGTTTTTCTAACAAAAGAAGTAAACATGTCAAATGTTTCATCTTTAGATGTTAAAAATAATGTCCAAGTAAACTTAGAGTAATCATCAACAAGTACCATCACATATTTTTTACCACATCTGCTTAATGTTCTCATTGGACCACAGAGATCCATATGGACCAGTTCCATCGTTATGGTGGTGCTTACCATTTTCTTGCATTTAAAAGAGGATCTTACCTGCTTCCCCCTTGCACAAGCCTCGCAAACTTTGTCTTCCTTGAACTTGATGTTAGGCAGCCCTATCACCAGGTCCTTGGAGACTAATTTGTTGAGTTGACTTAGACTTGCATGTCCAAGTCTCTTGTGCCAAAGAGGGGATGATTGTCCAACACACTTAAGCAAATGAGTTCATTTTCTGAAAGTGTGGACAAATCTACAATGTATATATTGTTTACTCTTTTTCCCTGCAGATGTTACGCCCCACAATATTACATCGATATTATGTCATGCAGTATTATATTTCGATGATGTTATGCTTCGCAGTATTAAATTACAACGATGTTACACCATGTAGTATTGTACGTTGAATTTTTCATAAGGTAATTATCATCAGTCCAAGGAAAAGATTGCTTGGAGATTATAAGGATTATTCTATTTCAAACAAATGATGAGCAAATTCGTGAAGATGGGAGGGGAAGCAAGTCAAAGAAAATAAATTTTCGTCCAAGTTTGACATTTTGGGATAAAATATGGCCCGAGCTAAAATACCCAGTAATTATGGACTAGTACCATACAAGGTACCACGTGGCCATGATAGTAAGGTGTATAAGGTATATTAAAAGTGGGTAGTATTTTAAGTAATTTGAGATAGTCCTTAATTATATGGATAATTAATTAATGGTGGAGATAATTATGGTATTAAGTGGATAAGGGTCTTGTTGAGATTGCCACATGGCATAAGGTTAACCAAGGTGGAAAAATTATGCAAAATGAGTCACTAGGAAAAGCTTATCTTGTTTACACGTAAATATTGATTGGTATCTTTATTGGAGAAGTATAAGACCTTGTAAAATTCAGTAAAACAACATTTTTCTATACCATTACAAAGATTAGATGGAAAAGTGACTTTCTTCAACAATTCATTAAGAGATGCATGAAAACGTTACTGTCCAGCAAGGAAGCCATACAAAGTTTGATCAAATTCACCAAAATGTGATGTTCTACATCTATCAAGTAGCAATTCAACAAGGAATTCATGCGAATTTATACGGATTTTTCCCTACTTTGATCCTCCGTACATGTTCCATCGCAAAAGATGTGTGTTAGAGGGATTGTCAAGAGAATCGGCTCAGGTATGTTAAGGTTATCCCTCCTTTCTTTTTGGCATGATCCATACGAAATAAACGAAACGAGCAAATACATAATTTTCATAAATGAATCTATCCATAGAAATCCTAGAGGTGTCTATCTTCTTGATTCCCCATGTGAATTATTATTATATCTTCTGTTCATGGGTCTCAGAAAAATACGTATTTGATAAAGTTTACCCGAAAGGAATATTGATTTTTATGGCAATTCGAGAAAATTTTATTAACGTATTTCTTATGCATTTCATGCATTTATACATGTATATTGATCCATGACCAGATGGCGATATATACGCGCATATATGTATATTATATGTATATAGGATATGGGAAAAGGTTACGGCGTTATATACGCACCACCACCTGATCAGCTGGTATACGTTGATGATTTGTCCATAGTGGCCTAGATGGTATGATGGGATGCCCTCAGAGTCTTGATGATGTTATGAACACATGTACTTGTGCATGACATGACACTCATACCCATATGCATGACACTATAAGTATTTTATGATTTACAGAGCTATCCAGACTTACAGGTTGAGTCATTTACTCTATATTTCTTCCATGTCTGTTATGTACTTATTTATGTTCCTTACATACTCGGTAAATTATTCGTACTGACGTTCCTTTTTCCTAGGGACGCTGTGTTTCATGACCGCAAGTCCCGGTAGACAGGCCGAGAGCCCTCCAAGTAGGCTATTAGCTCAGCGAAAGATGTTGGTGCGCTCTATTTACTTCGGAGTCACTTGTTTGGTTAGTATGATTTAAACGTGTATTTGTTTGGTATGGCAGGACTCTGTCCCGACCTTTATGAAAATTACGTATTCTTAGAGGCTTGTAGACAGATGGCATGTACGTAAAAGATTGTATGGCCTTGTCGGCCTATGTTCAGTACACGAGTGGTTATTTTGGTCTTATAGGCCCATATGTCTTATGTATAAGTTGGTATCACATATTGTATTCTACTTATCTCACGACAGCATTATGGCTCAGTTATCTATAATAGTATGACCTGAAAAGATACGTTATGTTGGTACTCGGTTGAGTAAAGTACTGGGTCCCCGTCGCAGCCCATCGGTTTTGGTCGTGACAAAAATAATCTTGTCAGTGATAAGATTAATCACAAAATATTTGGTAGAGGTGAATGCTACCAAGTTACCTCTATCACATAATTGTGATACACTGATTAGATTATACTGTAGGCCATCTATCAAGTAGACATTCTCAATAGAGTGAGAATCAGTCTTACCTACCTTTTCAACCCCAATGATCTCACCTTTCTTCCCATTTCCAAAGGATACATTACCTCCTTTGAGATCCTCAAGTGAAAGGAGCTGGTTCTTGTTTCCTGTCATATGCTTTGAGAAGCCACTATCCATGTACAAATATTTGGTTGCTCCCCTTCACTTGGACCCGCAAAAGGAAATCAGGGGTTATTCTTGAGAACCCAAACTTGTTTGGGTCCCTTTCTATAGGCAAAAGGGTGAATCGGATTCTTTTTAGCCCAACCTGGCAGCCTATATTTCCCTTGAACAAGTTCTTTATTCTTTTGACTAGCCTTTTCTTTTGCAATACTTTCACTTTTATAGTGACCAGTTTTACCATAGTGTGTGCAAATTTTATTCTCAGGAAGTGTGAGGTACTTGCTTTTGGGATCCCACTTAGGTGCAGGGGTCCCGTAGCAAAGTCCTCTCTTGTTGCTATTATGGTGTTCGTGTAGCCATGAAAGTGCATCGGAGGACCTGTTCCATTTACAGGTTCTGTCTAGCTCATGCTTGACCTTGATCAGATCCTCCTTTAGGACTCTTAGCTGCTCATCTCTTTTGTACAACTCATCTTTCATTTTTCCTACATTTTCTTCTAAAGTGAGTTGTGTGTGATCAACTTTCTTTTTACTAGTTCCTAATTTCAATTTCAGATTTTCATATCTAAGCTCTAGGATAGTGGTGTCAAGTTCATGAACTTGGTTCTTTAACTCATCATTTTACTTTCATTTCACTAGCCCTAAATTCCAGATTTTTGCACTTAGCTTTCAAAATCACACACTCCTTAGACAGTTGTTCCTTTTCATTGTTTAGATCCTCAGATTCATCAATGAAATCCAGGAGTAACTCAGATAGCGTTTCTTTAGACAAAAATTTAATATTGTCTTTGAGATGAATTATACTTACCTCAGATTCCTCATCTTCTCTAATTGCCATAAGTGTTTGTTCATCTCCATATTCACCCTCTAAGTCATCATCTGAGCTTTCTCCCAAGGCAACAACCATAGATTTTGTTGATCCTTTATTCTTCTTGCGTTGAACCTGTTCCTTCTTCATGTTCCTTCGTTCAGCTCTTTCCTTCTTCCATTCAATTTCCCATTGAGGGCAGTTTTTGATGTGGTAATCAGTCTTCCCACACTTGTAACATCCCTCATTGGTTTGTTTATCAGGAACCCTTGGTTTGTTGTAGCTTCCACTTCTTGAAGGACCCTTTCTTCTCATTAGGTACTTCTTGAAGTCCTTTGTGATCATGGTCATTTCATCCTCCTCAAGATCAGTACCTTTAGTGATTCTGAGTGCCAGGCTCCTTTCCTTCTTGGGTGCATCCATCTTCAAGGTTTGCCTTCTAAGTTCATAGGCAGTGAGATTTCCAATTAGCTCATCCAACTTAAGAGTGGCAATGTTCTTTGATTACTGAATAGCGTGATTTTGCTTTTCCAAGAGATTGGCAGAACCCTTGTCAAAATCTTCTCAACTTTGTCTTCTTCAAGAATAGCCCTTCCAAGTGACTTAAGTTCATTTGTCAGTGTGGTAAACCTTATACACATCTCCTGGATGGTTTCCCCTTCCTTCATGGTGAAATTCTCATATTGAGAATACAGCAGTGTTCCTCTGGACCTCTTCACTTGAGGTGTTCCTTCATGAGCCACTTGCAAAGTGTCCCAGATTTCCTTAACTGTGGTACAGCTTTGAATTCTACTATACTCGTATGGACCAAGTCCACACACAAGCCATTTCTTTGCCATAGCATTCTTTTTCCATTTCCTCAAGTCCACAACATTGCAGTCAGCTCTTGTTTTTGGCACATCTACTCCTTCAGCATTCTTCTTCATGGTAGCCAGGGGACCATCAGTGACTGTCCTATAGCTCATAGTCTTCTCCGATGATGTGATCTTTCGTCCTGTTTTTCCACCAAGAGTAGTATTGACCATTAAAGAGTGGAGGCATATCAGTGGATTGCCCTTCCCAGTTTCCAGGCGGTGCGCTCATCTTGATATGTTCCTAAGGTGTTAGCCTCTTCAAGGATAACCCGCTTTGATACCAGTTGATGTTTTACCCTTCAATACCACATAAGATGGGGGGTGATTTGTGTGGTGACCAATTTTTCGCTTAAACTAATTATGGACGGACCTGGTTCTTCTAAGTGTTCCTTAACCTACTATTGCAGAAATAATAAATGCGGAAAGTAAAGAACACAAGTATTTTACCAGGAAAACACCTGGCTCAAAAGGTGAAAATCACGACCTACTTACCAGTAGGATTTTTCCAAACTCTTCACTAAATCACTGAGCCAAAATTGCATTTACAAAAACACTTTTGTAAACCTAGTACTAACTCTAATCACGTTGTGGCAAACATCCTCTAACTGCTGCGACAGCTTCAAGTTAACTCTAACTTGAAAAGTCTGAGTACCTATTACAATTGCCTCTAGATAAAGCTGAAAGGTACAATATGAAAATACCTACTACAATTGAACTAGAATAAAAGACAAACACTTGGAACTGGTTCTTCTATCTGGTTCATGTAGCTTCAGATTTGCACACTTGAATCACACACGAACTGCTTGCAAAATTGCCTTGCTATTTTGCTCTCAATTCACGTTTAACTTCTGCGTTTGTGCAAGACCTGTAAAGTGATAACATCCTGCAATTATAGAGTTAGTAGATGAAGAGAATAACTAGAGTTCTAATGCTACCCTTCCTTGGTGGAAGAGTTTTAGTTAATCTCAACTTCTAACTCCTTCCTTATCTTGGATAATGTTCTCTTTGAGTAAGGAGTCCTTTTCCTTATCAACTATGCAACCTTTTCGATCAAGAGATATTAAATATACCAAGTTAAGCTTATCTCCTTCACGTACATCCCACATGCTCGAATCTACCCGTTTTTATGAACCTGAGGGATGGACCTGGTTCATGCGTGAGCTTCCTTTGTCAATTTTCAAAACAAACCTTTACTTGGGCCGACAGTCATAAAAACAAAAGGTGAACAAAGTGGTATTTTACATCTGCTGGCTTAATATTATTACTTTGTAGGCCAACAAATTCAAATTTGAAACATGATACCATCACTTGTGTTATATTACAAAAGAATTAAAGCCTTGAGAATGGAATCCCATTTGGTAGAGAAAGCTCTGGACACTGATAATTTCTAAGTCTCAAACAAGTTGGGTCAACGATATTAATCTCAACTCTTATCATCATCATTACCAAAATAAAAGAAAAGTGCATGTAAAAAAGGATAACTACAATAATAACAACAACAACAATAACAATTTGTAGGTTTTCCGAAATGACTTTCTTTCATGATTTTAGGTCTACCCATCCCCTTTTAACACCTTCCCCAACCATAGTTTCACACCTACAAACTAGTACATGTGTAGGTCAACACAACACATGACCAGACCATCTCAAGCGACCTTCTCTCATATCATCCTCAATGCGTGCTACTTGCACCTTCTGGTAAATGTGGTTATTTTAATATTAGTCTTGTGTGATTGCACATTTATCTTAGCATTTGCATTTCTGCAACACTCATCTTATGAAGAAGACAAGTTCAAAAATGGAGAGGTTTGCTAAACACACAGAAAAAAGAAAAAAAAAAAGCAAATTTCCTCTTCAAAATTGTTACATTACTTTACATGTTTGGAGGTGCTATTCATAGTTTTTGGCACCTCCATCCCTACCAAACACAATTTCTCACTTGTTATCTCCCTCTTGGACCAAAATAGGTGTATACAAAAATGAAAAGGGAAGGACTGTTGTGGTATTCCCTTTCTCTTGCCATGACAAACTATTTTAACATTCTTGACGGATACAAAATGTTTTGCCTCCAAATGCAACACCTTTGGACATTCCAAGCTACTTATAAGAACGAAATTAATCCTCCACGCTAAACTTTTTCTACTCGAGGCAAGGATGGGTATTGAAAAAGGAAACGTTCCCTGAGTAGGATGGCTCACTCCTCATCATCATCGTCGTCCTCCTCCTCCTCGGCATCGTCATCATCATCATCTTCATCTTCATCTTCATCTTCATCTTCATCTTCATCGAGTGTTGTCTTGCCCCTTGGGGGCGTATATGAAGGACAAGTAGGAAAATTATCCATGTTCATTCCATGGTGAAGTGCCATAGTTCTTAGCATTTCAGCAATTGCTTGATTGTGCTTCACCTGATAGGCTTGAAAATGGCGTATGTGATCCAAATCCTCCTCGATACTTGTTATTCGGTTGGGTATTGATGAAGATGCATAGGCCGAAGAGCCGGGTATATGAGATGGACCTGCAACATTGGACGCCTGCCTCTCATCAATGTGTCGGGAAGCCATCAACACTTCCTCGCTAGGATCATCATATTGGACTCCTGATTGAGTACGTAAAGCTGCAAGAAGCTGTTCCTTTAAGACCTGAAATGCATAAAAACATTCATCAGAAATCTCAAATTTCACATCTTTAGCTAATAAATTAGAGAAATAGCTTTTGATTCTAGAAAAATCTTTTATAAATCGTGTATAAAATTGAGCATGTCCAAGGAAACTCCTATTTTACTGAAGTAGGAGTCGGCAACTTTTAATGCATTCAACATTTGCCATATCAACTTCAATGCCCTACATGGAAAACTTATGTCCAAGAGCTATACTTTTTCGAACCATGAAATGACATTTCTCCCAATTCAAAATAAGTTAGTTCCTTCACTGCATTGCTGAACAAGAAGATAAGTGATGAAGCCGATCTTCAAATGTTAGTCACATATATCCATGAAAATTTCCATAACTTTTCCAATCATATCATAGAAAAAAGAAAATTGTCATCATATGATTTTGAAAAGATGATCAATGCAATGATAAAAAGACATTCTCCTATGTGGTAATGTGCCATAAGAGCATGTAAATATGGTCTTTTCTTGATCCTCTAAGGCACTAGGCAATACTTATAAGTAGAATATCCTTCTGAAAAGCTTTACTCCTAATATTTTTGTCACTCTATTAACACCAAAATTTTGGGCAACAATTAGGGTAGATACAAGATTGGACCTGGTAGGAGACTCGGTAACTATTAGGTCTCCAAAACAAAATGAGCTAAGTCCAACCAGATGATATGCAAAAATCAAATCCCTAGTCTTCCCAATATATATATATCGTGGCTGACTCATCAAACAAGGTTCTTGTCATAGTGCCACTAAATCAAGCAACCACCAGCCCTCAGAGTACGGAGCAAGCAACATCTGCTGAACGTGAGAATATTATGGTTAGCTGACTTGTCATGGAAATAGCCTGATAAGCAGTTTACCACTGCGGTACTAGGACACTTTGAGACTTAGAAGCTCGTAGTGCAGAAGCAGAGTCCCCTCTCCATGTTAATCATTTAAATAGTTCGGTGAGTAGCTTACATGTTTCAAGGTTCTGACAGTTCAGGAATCCTATTTTACATATTAAACCTTGTTGTATTTTGTTGAGAAGATCTGGAAAACACATAATAAATAATAATTTATGAATTGATCTTTCATTCAATTCTTTTCGGTTTTCTCCTCTCTTCTGGTGCTACGCCACCATCTAATAACAAGGCATTAGGAAGATTGTGCATGATCACCAATGATAATATTATATAGCAAAGATGATAACTTGACCAACCTTTTTCTCAGCAGCTTCTCTTACTTTGCCCCAAAATGCACCTGTAACATTTAAGTCAATACCATTACCAAACTTTTAGCAAAGGGTTAAGAATTCACCATCAAAACAAGCTCAATATAGATTAAGAATTCACACTGAGCAACCTGAATATAGCTAAAAACCTTGAGTACCATTGTTGTAGCATTCAACCGTAAAAAGGATCAAAATAAACAGGGTTTCAACGAAACATTTCTGAGAAGAAAAGATTTTGGCATGTTACTTCAGTCAGAAGACTTTTCTCCATAAACAGATATTTATTATAGGAAAATTCAATTAATACTATTTGGAGGTGGCTATATAAATTCTATATCTACTCTGCCCCAATCAGGTCAATCTATTCCATTATTAAATAATCTGTCATTCAAATTACGTGTTCTATAAATCTCACGCTT